AAGGATATATAAGATTAATAAATGGTATAACTCTCTGGTATATAACCCTGAGTGTACGTGATATCAAGAGAAAAAGGATAATTCTAAAGTAGTGAAATAGCTCCACTATATATAACCCAATAAAGACAGATGACAAACAGACAAATGTGTGGGCTGGATTGCAACACTAATACACTGTTGCAATCCAGCCCACACATTTGTGTGTTTATTGTTAATTGCAGCAAAGGCTCCCCACTGTATTTTTTACCTACAAGATGAGCAATCCTGTTTTTTGATTGCAACTATTCTCCATAGAGATTTTCTTCTGTTTGTCATCTGTCTTTATTGGGTTATATATAGTGGAGCTATTTCACTACTTTAGAATTATCCTTTTTCTCTTGATATCACGTACACTCAGGGTTATATACCAGAGAGTTATACCATTTATTAATCTTATATATCCTTTTGTTTACACTTGGATCCCCTGAGTCTATAGAGATTACATAGCATTAATCAACTACCTACAGTCTGAATCCCCTCCTGTGTGTCTTAGATTTTAAGTGTTGTTTTTTATAAGTTTCCTTTTTTGAGGGATTTTTTCTACCCTATAATAAAGCTCTTTTATTTATTTATTTTTAGCATTGTTTTTCAAGTACAGACCCTTAGATCCCTTACTTTCGGGTGCTCTCATAGCCTTGTGCATTTGGGATCATCCGTTTCATTTTTCAGTATCTAACTTCAAGGGTTATCCCCTATAGGGGTCTATGGACACACTCTAGACTCCTATCTATTAGGATTCTTTATTACTTATTTAATATGTTTAACTTGCCTAGCGTTTTCATTATAATGTAAAACAATAGGAACTCTTAAAGGTTTTACATTATTTTTTGTTGTTGATTTCTTTTTTGATTTTAAAATTTCTTTACGTTCTTTATCTTTGGTATTCTTAATAAAAAAAATCCAAAGACTTTGAGTCGTAATTTTTCTCCACTAACCTGGTTTTTAAAAATTGTGCTTGTTCTTCAAATACTTTAGTATCACTGCAGTTTCTATATAATCGCAAAAATTGACTATTTGGCATATTGTATAGCCATGGACCATAATGACAACTGGATGTATCGATGTATCCATTAACATCAACTTTTTAAAAAAATGTTTTAGTATGGATAGCCTGGTTTTCAATATATATAAATAGATCCAAAAAGCTAATGCCGGTAGTACTATGTTCACTAGTAATACGCATATCAGAATTATTTTCATTAAGAAACTCCACAAAAGATCTAAGAGATTCCTCATCTCCTTGCCAAATGAAAAAAATATCGTATATGTACCTACGATAGAGGACCAGATTATGCGCCCAGCGTGCTTCGGAGAGAAAAAGAAATCTGGTCCCCATCGCGGTACCTTTAAGTTGTAAAAAAAATTTACTATCAAACCAAAACTACTTCTTCTTTCTATTATCTATTTCCTGCGTGTTCTGTATTTATATTTCATATATTGTGGACTTTTCCATCTGGTCGGCAAGAAAACGGCATGGTTAAGCCTGCGTTCCACCATGCGTTCCATTATGCGTTCCACCATGCGTTCCAAATGCCGATAACCGGAAGTGACGTCATTCGAAAATACCGGAAGTGACAGAATTGAACGGAGACGACACACGTGTTTGCAATGATCTAGAGTATTTAAACAAGCTCCGGAGACCTCAACATCAGCACTTGAAGAAGGCTTTTTGAGCCGAAACGCGTCTGCTGCTTGCTGCTATTTTTTTATTACCCAGTTGTATTTCATTTTTATTTGTGTTTATTTCATGTATTTGCTCTCGGTCTTTGTTTTGGGGCAAGTGGATATCCTTTTGTTTGCATGGTTTGGATTCCACTCCTCTAGTACCTCGAGCCTTGTAATTTTGAATTATATATTATTCAATAAATATATATATTTTTGAGAAATTTCTCCATCTACTTTCTGGGAACTTCGTTTGCCTGTATTGGCACCCTTGAGCCTACAATACAGAGCCTGGGACGGCTCTGCATAATGTGAGTGATAGTCTGTTCTGCCCTATCTTCACTGCTTTTATACATGGACGAATGCTCCATGTGAATATGCTCAAACCCTACAATGAGAGGATAGACGACGTGGCGGCGATATGCGCCTCAGCCTCTGAGGATCAGGAGAATCTTCCGCTACCTGACTTATTGGAGCAGGAAGATCAGGCAGAGCCCTCCACAGGTATTCAGCTGGGGGAGTGGCTAAGCCCTCAGGAGTGTGCCCAGATACGGGAGTTAATTGCGGCTAAGGGAGCCACTTTCTCCAATGTACCAGGATACACTCCGCTGGCCACTCACCGAGTTGAGACCGCAGGACAGCTACCTATGCAGCAGACCCTCTATCGTATCCTGGAAGCAGTCAGGGAACATATGAGAAAGGAAATTGAGGAAATGTTGCAGCTAGGGGTTATTGAACATTCCCCCGGTAGTGCTGGTACCCAAGAAGGATGGCACCACACGGTTTTGCGTAGACTACCGGAGGCTAAATGACAAAACAGTGTCTGATGCCTACCCGATGCCCCGGATAGACGAGCTGCTAGACAAGATGGCTCAAGGCCAGTACCTCACTACAATAGACTTATGCAAAGGGTACTGGATTGGGAGGAGTGCTGAGCCAAGTTGGAGTAGATGGCGGAGAGCATCCAGTAGCTTACTTAAGCCGAAAGTTATTGCCACGTGAAGTAAACTACGCCGCCATTGAGAAGGAATGCCTGGCCGTGGTGTGGGCCCTCAAAAAGTTACAGCCGTATTTGTATGGATAACCTTTTTCCTTACTCACAGATCACATCCCGTTGATGTGGCTGAACTGTGTGGCTGAGGACAATGCCAGGCTGCTGCGCTGGAGTGTGGCGCTGCAGCCTTTTGACTTCACTATTCATTACCGCCCAGGGAAGCAGAATGGTAACGCCGACGGGTTGTCCAGACAAACTGAACTTGAAAAATGAGTACTCCTCCGGACATCCCCAAGCCGATCCGTTAGGATCAGACTGTGTATGCCGGCTTGGTTCTTGGTTCTTGGGGAGCATTGTGGCAAACCTAGCCACTTCAGATTATATGGCTGTGACTTTAAAGGTTGTCCGGAACACTGCTGCACTACAATGTTTAAATGTATTCTGCTTACTGTGTGGAAATGTATGCTTGCATGTATAACCTATAGCATTCGTATGCTAGCAGCCGAAAGCCGCTAGCATTCACATGGTTGTTTCACGAACAGCAACTTTACCGGCTGTTCATGAAACGAAACCAAGTACCGAACCAGAGCCCACACAAAGAGGGTTGTGTGGCTCCAATTAACGGATTGCAGCATTGTTGCAATCGGTAGTTAAGTGCTTTCCTGGGTGGCTGTCGTTCAACTACTGACCACGCGGCGGGCGGCCATCTTGGATCCTGGGTTAGCTTAGTGGTGTTTGGTCGTCGAGCGCCTGGAACTAAAATCGGCTACTCAACGGCGCGAACACCGCTGGACTTCCAGGCCATTCGGGAGCTGCGGTCTTTTAGTGTTGGGTTCCCCAATCGGTGTTCGGTACTTTTAGGTGAATGTAATATAAAGTATGTTTTCGTGGGCCGTTCGGTTACTCGCACGAAGGAGGTGCTCAGACCCCAGCTATCTACCGACCGGTCATTCATGTTAATCACACGAATAAAGCAAAAGTTATGGAGGGGGGAAGCCATGTATCAGTTTCGCACCGGGGAGCCATGGATTGTGTGCACGCCACTGATTTTCCTGGTGTCTTTAATTCTTTATTTTTGCAGTGTGGGTAGTAACAACCAAGTTTGCAATGCCACGACAGCATCAGCAGACAATCATAATCATATATATTGGTACATGGCATGGAAATACATTACTATTTTTAAAGAAAATTAACCCCTTAAGGACACATGACGTGTGACATGTCATGATTCCCTTTTATGCCAGAAGCTTGGTCCTTAAGGGGTTAAGTAAAGTAAAACAAGATAAAGTAGATTAGGCATAAGCTTTCACTGAGTGATGTAAACTGTTTGATTATACAGGTAGTTATGTCAATAAGAAGATTTACTGAGTAAACATGCCTCACTTCACAAATTCTGTCTAGCATATACATCGCTATGGGCTACACTTGAGATTAAAACAAGCTAAGACTTAGACTATTCAGGATCTTTTGTTTCAGGTGATAAAACGTTATGCTAGGCGTTGTGGATCAGAGGGTTGTTTCACTGCAGCATCATTGGGAGTTAATTGCCATCTATGTGTAGAGGTCAAAAGAATAAAGCTGTAAGAATCAAACTGAACTAGTATTTTCCCGTGCAGATTTAAGCTTAAATCAGAGAAAATCCTCTAATCATGACAGAGTAAGGTGAAGTATGCAATTAAGCATGGCATATCCTAAGCATGAGTAACAAGAAGAATAAACTTAACAAAAAGATTGAAGGCATTATGACCTTGAGTGGTAGCATGCAATTCCAACCATAGAGTAGGAGACAGAAATTCAAATAGCAGGAATATTATACCACAGAATATGAAATCATAAAAGGAATGTAAGTGCAGTTCTGTGGTAGGTATGAGAGAACCTCCGCCTGGTGTCTGCACCCTATGCTGCTTATGGGTCTCTGCAAAGTGTCCATGACAGTAGTGATTTCTCAGGCCTAGGTATCTTATTCAGCTGATGCCTGCCAGGGGTACTCCGAATTCCTGCGATGCAGCAAGGTAGTGTTCAGACCTTCCATGTGGGTACAGTCCATGAGGGTGGGTGACCCTGCAGAGTCGGTGTGAGGCGGCACTCCAGCCCCCTGCCTTTCCAGGTGTGTGTCTCACATTGGGGTTCCGTCTCATTGGGGGAGTGTCATGGCGTTGTTGAGGTGAGGTTTACCTTCTGCCCAATGCTGTGTAAGAACTGGTACCCTCTTGCCACGATCCTGGGATCTGCCGTGGTCCGGGGTCGTCCCTTCTCAGGTCGTCGTCGCTTGTGTCTTGCTGCCCTCCGCCGGTGTGGCCAGCACCTATGGGGTGTGGCCAGCACCTATGGGGTGTGCCCCTTGCTGCTCTCAGCCCGGGAGGGTCCTTAGTGCGGGAGTCTGTAGCGTGGGACTTCGTTGTGCCCTGAAGAGGTTTCCCAGGCCTCCGCTCGCCATTGACTTTGTCCAGTGTGGAAGGTTTGTGGTTAGTCGTCGCTGGCTGTAAGTGCGTCAGCAGCTTGGCCCAAAAGCGGTCAAAGATTTCTGTAAGGGTGAAGGGTCAAGCACACAGATACATACCCTGACACACAGACAGATACACACCCTGAAACACAGACACTCTGACACACAGATGCATACCTTGACACACATGCAGATACACAGACACATATATATATATATACCTTGACACACATACCCTGACACACATGCAGATACAAAGAAACATAGGGTATGTGTAACGGCACCCTCAGCATAAAAGGTTTAAACCGCCGTTTAGTAGATCTTCCCTTCCAGAGACACAGGCACAGCTACTGCAGAACACCAATCCGCCGAACAGGAAACCATACGAATGCTGAAAACAGCCGAATAGGAAAAACCATACGAATAGGTTTACACTCGTAGCAGTCAAACTGGAACAGCATACAATAAATCCCCCCAAGAACGTGACAAAGCTCCATGTTGAGGGTCAAGCAGTGAACAGACAGAGCTGTGGGTTTATTGTTCTTATATACACATTAGTACCACCCACAGGGTTTTGGAACACAACCAATAAACACATACAATACACTCAGACACTCCCACACAAAATCCTCCCCTCTGCCTGTGATACAATTACCTTACACAATGGGTAATGTAATTATAACAAGCAGAGAAATACAATTTTTCCACATTATTCATAACTTGAAAAGTATGGATCACATTCACATATAACTTACCTTTTCAGAATCAGCATACTCCAAATACAAACATACGTCAAAATCATACAAATTGGTCCAGTAGTTCAAAAGATAGATCGTAGTCCTTTGTGACCAAAGGAAGCATGGCTTTTCTGCCCAAAACCAGTTCCACAGAGTCTTCTATCCTGGAGATAATTGGGAAGTAATCCAATTATCTCCAAGGACAGAGGCAAAACTCCATTGAACACATGGCAGCAAAAGACAATAAAACACATAAAAACATATAACTGTGCAGCCATTGCACAAAACAGGTACATTCAACATATCCCCAGATAGCTCAGATCTGAGCGCACATTATTACTGAATGGCGCTCAGAGCACACACATACAGTTCAATTGCCATGGAGCCAAAGTCTTTCCCATAGTCTTTCATGGCATAGCTATCTGGGTTATCACCGCTCAAACAGGGCAAGCACCGAATGACCCGGCTTTCATGTCTTTGCAGGGGAAAATCAAGCCTTTTAACATGGGGCCATAATCCAAAGGCAACAGGTGAGCAACCAGGCTTCTCCAATGCAATGTGGCGAGATTGGTCTCGTCACAGTATGTATCCTTAAATGTGTCAGCATGTGTATCTGTGTGTGTCAGGGTATGTATCTGTATGTGTGTCAGAGTATGTATCTGTAAGTGTGTCCGTGTATGTATATATGTCTGTGTATCTGTATGTTTGTCAGTATATGTATCTGTGTGTCTGTGTACCTGCATGTGTGACAGGGTGTCCATCTGTGTGTCATAGTATATATCTTTATGTGTGTTTGTGTATGTATCTGACACACAGATGCACACCCTCACACACAGATGCACACCCTGACATACATGCAGATACACACACACATGCATATACACAGACACACATGCATATACATAGAGATACAGATATAGACACTGACACACATCCTCACGCACAGATACTTATCCTGTCTCACAGATACACATGCAGATACACAATTACACACACATTCACACATGCAGATACACAGACACATAGATTCATACAATGACACACTTACGGATACACACCCTGATATACAGATGCACACATTAACACACACATGCAGATACACACACTGTGCTGTGTGTAAGGGGTGTTCTGTGTGTGTGTGATGGGTGCTCTGTGTGTGTGTGTGTCCAGTGTGGAAGGTTTGTGGTTAGTCGTCGCTGGCTGTAAGTGCGGTCAAAGATTTCTGTAAGGGTGTCTCTTGCATCTTCGCTGGCATCTGACAGGGCATGTTGTTGCTGCCGCTTGTCACATGTAGCAAACTCAGATGAATCCGCCATCTTGGAGGCCCCCGTTTCCTCGTTGCTTAGAGGGATTGCGGGACCCATCAAGGGGTGTGAGGTTTGAGGTACTCCATCTGGCAGGGACCGAGATATTTCCCACCGGTCGACAGGGGGAGGGGGGTGGATGCATTTCGTGCTCACATGAGGCTTTTGGCATCGGGCGGGAAGGCGGCCGTCCTTCCTTCTCGCCTCTTCTAGTAGGCCCCAACTTGCTGATGCGGTTCCCGGTCATGCCGGTTGTCGAGTGTAGTGTTGCTGGGTTCGTACATGCTTACCCAGTTCAGTAAGCTTGTTGGGGGAGAATCGCAGCACTGTAGCCCGAGATAGCAGCATAGTTTGAGCCCGTACAGCAGGAGCTCATGCGGAGTATGTCCAGTCAGCTGGCTAGTCAAGCTCCGTCCCTCTCATTTTACTGTTTTGAAACACTAATATTTGTATTCAGCGAAGTCTCCCGATTAAAACAGTACCCTCCATGTACAGGTTTTATGGTGTCTTGGAAAGTTACAGGGTTAAATACAGTGCTGGCAAATTAATTTCCCTGGACCTTCGGCCTGGGTTGTCAGGCAGGTCCCGCAAATTGTAATTAATAAAATGACCTAATTATGTAAAAATATTACATAAATATATAGGTAGAATTAATATATATACGTATGTGTGTGTATATATATATATATATATATATATAAAATTAAATTTTTTTGCTGTAACCCGTGTGTTATGAATAAAGACAAATAATTTTTTTCAGAAAGCCCAACATGTGGGTGGTGGCCGGGAGGGGGAGGTAGTAAGTTCCCCCCACCCTATTGTTATTTTGTGCACCCACCCACTGCTTATGGTTGGGGACAGGAGGGGACCATAGGTCCTTCCCCCTATTGTCACTAGGGCCCTTACCCGCCGCTAATGGGTGGGGGCCGGGAAGGGAGGCAATATGTTCCCCCCCTATTGTATCTTAGGGCTCCCACCCGTCGCTCATACCGTGGTAATTAGGAAACTATCTACTCGTGGCACGAATAGGATCGGAGTTTCATTAATTTGAATGAAATTCCGATCTGAACAAAAACTTCCGAATTGCTTCCTAACACGAATGGACAAGCTGTTCTCATTCTGTTAGGACGAAATTTGGTAGTTTCGCTGGCGTTCGAATGCCGAATGAATCAGCAGGAGGAAGGTGAGAATTGTGGGAAAATTGCTTTGACCACAGGAAATGGGGCGGACTTTGCTCCTCCCCGGGTCAGAGCGGGTTAAGCGTAGGAAAAATACATAAGACAAAATAGTCCCTACTTATGTTTTAAAGAAAACTAGAGCAGTTAGGAAGAAATGAAGAACAGATCCCGAGAGAGGAAGAGAAGAGGAATCAATAGGAGAAAGGTAAGTTCGGCATTACATTGCTGCTTTAACATAATACACATATTAATATACATTCATGTCACTCTTTCCCCCCCCAGCATCTCCCTTAGTCACTCCCCTCACTTCCCCCCCAGCTGCATTACCTTCACTCCTCCCAGCTCCATGGTGACAAGGCAGCTCCCATCTGAACACTGCTACTGATTGGCTTAGAGCAGGCATAGGCAACCTTCGGCACTCCAGATGTTTTGGACTACACCTCCCATGATGCTTTGCCAGCGTTACAGGTGTAAGAGCATTATGGGGGATGTAGTCCACTACATCTGGCGTGCCGAAGGTTGCCTACCCCTGGCCTAGAGCATCAGCTGGCTGGTGGCACTCTCTGCTTCCTGTAACTCAGATTCAGAAGCCAGACGCTACCTGGGGGTCATGGAGATCAAAGCTGGAGGCAACCGTTCTTGAATGGTTTAACCGTGAATGTGCACAAAGGCCTCCTGGCACCATAACAACTTCATTTACATGTAGTTGTTATGGTGACCAGAGTGTTCCTTTAAGCTCTAAAAGGCACATTATAACGTCTAAAAACCGGTGCCCATAGTGGCCAACTGTATGCCGATGCCTACTCTGCCTAATGGGAAATCCTGCCCTGTTTCCATCCCTACCTGAGCGCCATCTTTTTTTTCTGTTAGTGTTTGGCATTTTGATTGGAGCTATTTGCAGTCACTGCTGCCATCAGATCACTTTGAACATAGCAGGAACCCATTGGTCATAATGTCATCCTGATTGGCTCTATAGTGAACTTCAGGGGAATTAATCAGCTTAATTAATATTAAATGAACTCTGTGAAATCAGCTGACTTTTCATAACAGAATTAGACTCTGTGTGAATAGACCCATTTTACTTAACTACAGTTTATAATTTTTTTTTTACACTGAATTAAAGGTCCACTCTAGGCACCCAGACCACTTCAGCTTAATGAAGTGGTCTGGGTGCCAGGTCCAGCTAGGGTTAACCCATTGTTTTATAAACATAGCAGTTTCAGAGAAACTGCTATGTTTGTAGATGGGTTAATCCTTCCTCCAAAGCCTCTAGTGGCTGTCTCATTGACAGCCGCTAGAGGCGCTTGCGTGATTCTCACTGTGAAAATCACAGTGAGAACACGCAAGCGTCCATAGGAAAGCATTGTAAATGCTTTCCTATGCGACCGGCTGAATGCGCGTGCAGCTCTTGCCGCGCGTGCGCATTCAGCCGAATGGGAGGAACGGAGGAGGATCAGAGGAGGAGAGCTCCCCGCCCAGCGCTGGAAAAAGGTAAGTTTTTACCCCTTTCCTCTCCCCAGAGCCGGGCAGGAGGGGGACCCTGAGGGTGGGGGCACCCTCAGGGCACTATAGTGCCAGGAAAACGAGTATGTTTTCCTGGCACTATAGTGGTCCTTTAAAGATTTGTCCTGTTCCTGAGGATTAATCACTAAGTTGTTTTCTAGTTTGTTAATTTTATTTGTCTTTATTGTATCCATTTAACTATTATGGATCAGATCCATGTTTTGTGTTATCGCTTTATAAACTTTCATTTCTTATAGATATGCTGCAACTGGCTGGGTGCTATTTTCAATATATTGCTTTAAAACTCAAGTTCTGTTCAGCCTCAGTGACATCACTCAGTATTTGAGAATGGTGTATCA